AAAAAAAAAAAAAAAAAAAAAAAAAAAAACACATCTTAGTAAAACCAATACCTTCTCAGCTTCACATCGAAGCTAATATATCTGATGGTTCCCTTCTCTTTTTTCGACTGGGCTTGAGACCAGCTTTTGCAGAGTTACCCCATCAGATAACGAGTATATAATAAGAACGCCTTTCCCTAAAGGCTTTAATATGGATTTCCATTCTGATCGGAAACTCCACTATATAATGTAGACTCCCCATCGGGCAGTCTACATCATGTTCATTATTAACAAATTAGTGCTTTCTTGTAGCCGTCCCTTAATTTTTATGTATGGAGAAAATAATATTATAATATAATAATATTCACAAAATTTGCCGAATGAGCATTTTAAATTTTAAGTTGCTTTTTTTATGTCAAATTTTAATTAGAAGTCAAAACTTCTAGGCTACAGATTTCATTTTTATAAAATCAAATTTTTTTTTCTTATCTTTAGCTAATGTATAACATCTCTAGAAGAAAAGGGGAAAACTTTATCCAATTCGGTTGCTATTATTAACACCGTTTCAGAAAAATTAGAAATTGTAGCAACAGCTCCTCAAGGTAAAACAATATACACAAATTTCAAAAAGTTTTGGACAAAAATTCTGGATATAAAGTATTGTCCAAAATTTCTAAGATATGAGATGGGGAAACAGAATCACTTGGAGGACTACCTAAAGTTATAGAAACTAACGACATCGTTAATTTTAAGCACGCATCGATTAACTCTGTAGATTTGGAGCGGTCATTTTCAACTTATAAAAACATACTGTCAGATCGTCAAAGGTCGTTCAAATTTAAAAACATCAGCAAAATAATCGTTATTCAGTGTAGTCCTGATATTTAAAGTACATTTATAATTTTTTTTTCGCATATTTAATATGTGTGTATTGTAATAAAATAATTTCAATTAATTTACATTAAAAAGGTATACAAATTTTTTCGAATTAATATTAACCTCTTTTTTTTTCATATAGTTATTGAAAAATTGGTATATTATATATATTTTAAGGCAAATAATTGCATAGGTGAACTGAATGAGCTGAATCAGTGTGCCATGGTACTGTGACTCAATGACTCAGTGTGGACTAAGAATTGAATTTAGTTTAAAACGTCTTATCAATAAATTCTGAATCATGCGAATTGTGATATATAGATTTAACTTACAGAAGTAGAAGTTGATGGAGTAATATTTGGGTCATCAATCGTCTCTTCTATTACATGAGTCTATTTAATAAATTTACTAATGGATGCTAAGATTTAATAATGTCTAGTTAAATTTGAAGTCGAAGAATGATAATTTTTTAATTTTATACGACAAAGTCCACACTTTACATGAATATTAACTGCTTCAAGTTGAAAAAAATCCCAAATAACACTTGATTTATTCATTTTAAAATGAAATAAAATACCTTCGTAAATTAAATAAAGTGTTTCACAATTTTCGATTTTGTGCACAAGATTTATTGTAATCACAGGAAACAGCGTTGACACAATGAGTAAAATTTTAAATAAATGAGACTAGATTATACATAATATGTCAGTTTTTAAAACAATATTCATTCAAGAATAGACCTGTAATTGCATACAAGAAAATTTTGAAATATATGAGAGAAGAGACCTATTTTTCTCACTGCATGCACTAAACATTAAACATTGATAATACCTACATTGTATTTATATACCTAATTTAACACATAAATAAATCTATGTGTTGATGTTAATAATAAAAAAATAGTATTTTTAGATTTTAAATTTACTCTTTATTTCAATAATAATTAACAAATTTAAATATAATTAGTAAAAATATTAAACAACTTAATAGAAAAATATTTTATAAATATCAAATAACCAAATAAATTACTTTTTATGTAACTATTGTGGGTATGTATTGAGAATCTAAAATTTTAACAGAAGAAAAAAGGAATCAAACTATTGAATGATTAGAAGTTTTAACTTAAAATTAGCTCAACCATCTTATAGGTAAAAATCAGGGTTTGAGGCCCATTATTTTATAAAATTATTAATTAGTAATAACCAACTACTTTTTCCATAATGTACATACAATTTGAATTTGATTCTCATTTATTTCGCTCTTTAATTTAATTCCAATATATATAAACAAATAACGAATAAAAAATTATTGATAGCAATATTACATTTCATTTTACAATAGTAGTTAATAAATAATAATTATTTACAATGAGTAAAATAAATTATTATTCACATTTGTGTAAAACAATAATTCATTGATATTTCATATTTGATATTAATCTATCTAAGATAACTATTAAGGCGCATTTAAAAGGCACTCTATGAGTATGCCATGCGAGTTGTAATTCGCGTTCCACAAACTTTTACAACTCACGAGTCAGAATCGCGCCTTTAAAGATTCGACGATTTGGGAGTTGGGATTTGGAGTTGACTCACTGAGTCAACTCATTTGAGTGAACTGATTCAAATGAACTGATTCATATCAGTGAGTCAAAAATCCCATCTCTATAAAAGTGTCAATAATTGACACTTAGACAATTTTCAAAAATTGAGTTGGAAAAGTTTAACTTGACACGGCCACGGCGTTGTCACACGTTTGACACCCCGCGGTCGTGTCAGCTCATTCTCAGCCGCCCCTCCACTGTAAACCGGACCGTTACACACGCGCGTTATCGTCGTGGTGCAAAGTCCAATAAATGTCGAATACCCGCAGCAATAATACGTCCAGTCAGTCATCTCCGTGACACCGTTACCGATTTTGTAATTTTTCCGTCAGCTCAACAGCACCGAATACGCAGCTACCAACATTTACCTTTTCCGCATAAATAAATTACTGTCATTTTTACATTTTCTGTGTTTCCTGATAATTCTTCTTCTAAGGCAATATTAAGTTTTGTTTTTGAAACACCAATAAACGGCACGACATTTTTTTTTGAACCCTAAAGTGTTTTCTTTTATTTTACCTTCACGCGAGTACAGTATAATACCAACCGCGACAACTGGCTCCCGGGCACAGGATTAAAACCGGATTAACTTTTAAAAAGGTAAGAAAATACATTTTATATTAATT